GATCGGTGTCATGCAGGAGAAGGCATGGCAGTAATGCCATCAAGCCTCACTCTGTACTGAGGCTCAAGGAACAAGTAGGTATAGCAGAATATCAACATTCTGCACTAAAACACTGTAAGCAGTGAGAGTAAATAGTATGACATAAGATTACATCATCCCTGATGAGGCAAAATTCTAATTTCCTGTTCATTGCTTGGTGAAGACTTAAATACTTATTCTTTAATTCAATATAAACATTACTTTCAAACTGTAAACACAGCTGCTACTGTTGTACACTATATTAACATGACTGGTTACTATTTTCACTCATTCCTGAGATAACACACACAGTTCTTTCCCACATCAAGCTCTTTTCAGATCTCAAACACACCTACATTGCCTGGCCATTCAGGAGTTCAGCCCCAGTTTTAAGTAACATGCCCAGCCTTTGGGTTTAACGATGCAAAGTTTCTTAAATTAGGGAAGAAACCAAGTAGAGTGAGACATAAAATATTCTTTCAAGAAAGTAAATGTTCAGAATTCACAAACAGCTTGAAAATAGTGGGAACAGACTCTCAGAAGCTTCAGCCCTTTCAAGTCAGGAGGTTCTGTACACTCCTTAAATGTTAACTACTTCAAATTCTACCTAAGTTGCCAAATGTGCTGAGAATCCCCTGATCACATAGACGACGACTGGACTTTTGGTTACTCCCAATCCTTCAGAAGCTTCAGATCTTGTTTCAGTAACAGCTAACACAAGGTAAACTGGTACGTGCCTTTGCTCTCTCATTTACTTTATGAAGAATTTCCCATAGAACTTAATCTCCTGGTAAAGTGGCTCCAAAAAATCCTCCAAGTCTGGCTTCCAGTGTTCACAAGGAGTGAGGTTTTCAATAGGTATGGTTCTCAGATGCACTACAAAGCTATGTCTCCACTGCTGCTGAGGATGAATGTCTATTCATACATGGGGAACAGTTAAGGAATTCTTTAAAAATTCTGCCCCTAACTGACCTATACCTGTTTATGATACCCTTGGTGCCATTACATCTGAGTAGTTCACAAATTCTTCAAGGAAACACATGTAAGACTGTCTCTTCTGGCCCTGAAGCATACTTAGAAGAATATATTTACTGAAAAGTTCCTATGTGCATATATCCAGCACTACAGTCTTTGTAGTCCAGAACCTGTTTGCACTCTAAAACACCTTCTCCATATGATATAAAGGACAAAATAGGAATATATGTAAATTTAAGAGGAAATTCAAAGAATTAATGCATAACTTTCTTTCAGAGACTACTGTGAAATTTGTTCAGATATGTTTTCAGGCATAACCAAGCTTTAATAAAACTATTTCTACTTAGAACAAGAATGTACATGGGCTATACATAGCTTGTTCAATCTGCACTGAGTTAAAAAAAATCAAAATCAAGAATAAAGGATAGCTAGCTACACCTAATTTATACAATACAACCTAATTGATATCAGTATGCAGTACAAAAGGAAAAATGTGTCAGCTTAGTTTTGAAGTTTGGTTATCAACTGTTCTTCCTTTTTTCTATCTTACTGTCGGAATCCACCAGATCCCCAAAAATCAGTGTTGTTTTCATTCAATTTAGATATGCTCTTCTGATGTTCTGCATACACTGTATTTCCACAAGGTGGATAATTTTCAACTCATTACACTTCAACAGAATCTGAGAATTAAATAAATGAGAAGATTAATGCTTGCAGCTGTAGCTATATATGCCATACATAACAGTACTACTTTAGGTGCAATAACAGCAGCACATGACTTACTGCAGGGACAAATACTTCCAAGCAGTGAAATTCTACAGACAGCTCAGCACTACACAAAGAGTAAGATGTCTGGCCCAGACTCCAGCAATTCCTTAGAACAGCTGCTTTTCTAACTTCAGTAGCTCTGAATTCACTAATACCCATGGCCAGCCTCGCCAGCCTCCCCAGGAAGCTGACAGGTAGAAATTACCCCTAACTCCTGTTATGTCACAGGCTCACCATTAAGCCTTCTTAACCTGCTCGCATTGCAGGACTGTGTTCTTTCTCTGAAAGAATCTGAAAGAACTTTCAGAAAGAGAACAGAAGTTACTCTGAACAGTCTTCAAATGTCCGTCTTGGAAAAATTCACCCAACATGTAACAAACAAACTGGTATCTGTTCTTTTATAATAGCCTTTTCAGAGCATCAATAAGGGCACACTCAGTCCTCTACACTACTTCTTTTCAATGTGCTTCTGACAACTCCATCCCATGTCAACCTCTTACAAGTTTCAGTTTGTTCTTTCTTGCAGTCAGCACAAGCCTCCATCTTGTGTGCAGCCTATTCCCACAGAAATGCAGGATTATTTGCACGCTGCTGATAAGCACCTGGGCAGAAGCTCTACAGTCTAAGTGGCTGTATTCACCCAAAAGTAAGGCAAGTGCCACTTTGTGCAAATCAAGCATTTCCCTGTACACAGAACAAGTTAGTTCAAGCTGACTACATCCCTGGACAAATACAGGATTCTAACTGTACTGTAGCGTCTATATGAATAAAGCATGGCTATGTGAAAACAATTAAGAAAAGAGGTGATGCATTAAAGTTTGATATTAGCAACTTCAAGAGCCTAAAATCTCACAGATCACCAGGGTAATGGCACTTCTCTGTGGGCACATGTGAGGATGTCAGTGGCATGCTAATTCAAATATTTAGTGCCTCAGCTTGATAACAGATGGGCTTTTGTCCAATCCTCAAGTTCATAAAAACATGCCTTTTTTTCTCCTCCCACATATGATATGGTTGTTGTAACCCTTATTATCGTTTCAGTCCTCCACATTCAGCTAGAATGTGAGTGCAAGGGAAGAGATGCTTTTGCCCATTGGAGGAAATCCGTTCACTACATGTGCATGCTTCAGAAGTACAACTGCTTGTACAATTCAAGGCAAGGCATTTGTTCACTATTCCCTTTTCCTTTCTCCTGAAAAGCCTGCCCAGGCCTTATGGGAGGCACTGACACACCTGGATTGCTTACTTGCTCAGTAAAATCTTCACTTTTCCAAGAACGAAAAGCACAATGTGCAATGTATTTAGAACCATTAGAAAACTCCAATATATTATCATGCAATACATGGAATACATAGGAATCTTAGTTTTGAATAATGTCAAAAAACACTCAGGGCTAAGCTGACTAAATAATTTCTATGTGTTTTCTGCCTCTTGTCATATCATAAAGAATAGAGGGAGAGTGAACGTGCAAAATATCAAACGTCAGTACTGACAACTCAAACAGAGAAAAAGGTTATAGACGTATTTCAGAATCAATCTTCTTTTCATCTGATAGACTCAAAAACAGCCCGTAAGCAGAGCTGATAAGAGCTGATATCTCACAGATGCAGAAAAGCCTGCTGTCGCACAGTCACCAGAAGATCTGGTCTGCGGTACATAGGCCACAGATCATAAGAACATTATTTATAAGATTATAAATAACTTCTCTTGGTTGGAAAAGACACCAAAAATCTTGTGTAGTGCTGGCATCACTTTAAGTATTATTTTCTGGTTTTCTACGTGACAAATAGTTACATACAGACTTCTTCATCTTTCATTTTTCTGAAGGTTTATACTTACACATTTTCTCCCCAGTCTTTTTTCAGTGGCACAATTCCCATTCCCAAGCTTCACATTTCTAGTGGATTCAGGGTGAAGTTATCAAGCCCCTGTAATCACCCAGCTCCACCCATGAGAACACAACAAAACAACTTCATCTTTGGCTCTTCTTCCTGCCTATCAAGTATCCCATTAATTTTTGGCCTTCCTCTGTCATTGTTTCTCACAACATGAGCAAAGCTACTTGGCAGGAAGTGCCTTTGAGGGGGTATTTTATGCCAGGTAGCTTCAAGGAAAACGTAAACTACTTATGTTTGACAGGATATGGTTTTCAGAGAGGATGTAACTGCTACTGAGCTACTGCTACTCTTGAACTCTGCCATTTACCATCTGAGTTGAACAAGGGTTATTGACAATGACTTCAACAAAGGATGCTTGTGTATAATCACAGAAGTCAAGCGCAGTTTGAGCTGTAACAACTTATAAATAACTCCTGCAAATTCTAGGAAGGAATTTTTACTGCTTTATACACAAAGGCCCAGTGAAAATAAATCCTGCAGTCAGTACAAACACGCTTTTCTAAGCACACCTTGCTCTGCACATACATCAATCTTTAAATTATGAAATGGCCTTTTCTGAAATAAAAAATGAACTGAGTATTTGAGTGCTTCCTAAATTGAGGCAATTTACCCTTAGAAGAGGTACCAAGTCAGCATAAATATCTCTTGTATGCACCCTCACAAAGGGCACTTTAGAGGATACAGCCCCAGCACACTGCAGAAGGGTTCAGCCCACGCTCAGATCCATGGGACCACGTAACTACAAGTGTTACTAAGTGCCATACAATGCTCAGAGGGACTTACAGCTTGAGACTCCATCACAGCACGTTTGCACCAATGGTGGTTAACAGCGTACTGCCGGAGCTCACAGGTGCCTGCCTGGATGTATCAGGGATTGTAACAAAACCTTCCTCTGTGGACCAATACTGACACAGAAGCACTTTAAAATTGAAGATATAAGTCAGTTCCAGCCCTGATAGACTCCTCAGTGCCTGTGAAAAGGAATTACTATACGTGAGTGAGATCCCACAATTGCAAAGATCCAATGTTTATTGCATACACACGACTCAAGTTTCTCAAGACCATGTAAGGATTTGATGTGATGAATGTGGGAGCATCCTGTTGAACCCGATTCATATAAGTGGATGAGCAAACACTTGTGCAATAAAGACAATAACTGAAACTATCAGTTAATCTCAGAAAAATCATAAAGGAAAGACTGAAATATCCTTTACAGTTGGCATGGATTTAAACCATAAGCAGCCAAGGAAAAAACAGTTGAGACAGTGCATTTCATCATCTTGTTCCAAGAAGTATCTGCATCACCATCATTTCAAACCAGAGGTAACTGAACCACGTTAGTTTGAAGCAATGTACATTTATTTTTAATTACTGTTCTATCACAGGTAACATGATCTATAATACAGAGGTATTAGAATAGATCTAAGAATTCCAGTTCTGTAAGCTATGCTTTTTTTGTGAGATTACAAATAGTAGAGCATGAGTTCATGGCTTATGAATCATTTACAGTGTAAAGATTAGATTTCATGTGATTGTATGTAACAAATCTCCATGTACACAAATAATCACTGATACATTTAACCATTAATCTGACTTACAGTTTGCAATAAATTAGATATTGGCATTTCAGATATTAAGTACTGACAATCATGTTGTGAAATACCTAATGCAGCAACTAAGAGTTCTTACTTCATGTGAACAGGAACAACTTATCTCAAGTATAGAAAGCATCCAAGTGCTCTGGTGAATTTTTAAGGAGGCACAGAAAATATCATGCAGTAGAAACATCACTGTTTTGCACTCAGTGATGTTTTGTCTATTAGTATCTAGTACTAAATCCTGAGAAATCAAGCTTGGGAATCTCCTTTTCATTAGAAAAGTTTGTTCTGTCTATGCGAGAACTCGGGCTTCCAACTTTACTCAGCCAGGATTTCCTGCAAGAAAAATAAAAGGATTAGCATGCAATGAACTGTATATATGTGGTGCTCTTACTCTTTATGCTCTTACTCTGCTTTCCCTTTTAAAAAGCCATAAGGAATAGTCTAATAACGAGGAAACTACCCCAGATATGCTTAATTTTCTCCTTTAAAAGAACAAACTATTTAAAAGAATAACTATCAACATTTCAAAACGTGCTATAGAACATTACATAAAAATACACCTGGCAGAAAAGGCAAAAGCATAATTATTTTAATAACCTCATTTAAGCATATATAATAGCTTTAAAGTAGGCATACTAGTTTTGCAAATTAATACTATACTTTTAGCAAGGAAATAAAAGTCATTCATCATTGATTAAAAATTAAGAAAAAAATCTAGCAACTAAAAGAACTAAAAGAAACAAACTGAAATCAAAATGAGACATTCAGAGCCAGCAAAAAAATAAAGCAAACAAAATTCCAGTACATAAAGCGATATTAAATTATTACATCTAACACTGAAAAATTAAAAAATGTGAGAGAAAAGAATGCTTGTGTTAAATTCAGTAACTTTTGCATGCATTTCCATTACAATTCAATCTAATTCAGCAAGTGCCTGCTTTTTTCTTCCAGAGCATACCAGAAAATTTGTATTGAATACAAATTATAATGAGGCAATTGAGTGTGAAAGCAGAGGGTATGATGGCTGCTCCTCCCTGCACACCATCTTCCTATCCTGCAGCAACTGGGACTGAGGTATAGGAGTGATAAGCTCCTGGTGACAGAAGCAGGTGCACAGACATTTGAAGTGCAACAGACAACACCTGCCTTTTTATAAGTGCCTTCATGAAAACACACTCTCTTCTGTTGTATTGATATCTGAGAGACACGTAAGTATTCTGCTGTACAAAACTGCATGTATTCCCATACAAGTGATACTTTTTATGATGATAAATTGCTATAGGCACATACTTGCAATTAGTTTTAAATTACAAACATACATTTAAATTCTCACTTAAGAGCATAAAAACTGTTTTACATTTAATTCACCCCTGGCAAAATCACGCTGAAGATCATAAAATGCAGCCTTCTTGCAACAAGACATGACAACTGTGTATTCCAGTTACTTCTCTTAAGTCAAAAAATGCAAATACCCAGTATCAAAATGTATCTGATTAGAGACCCTATACGTGATAATGATTTCATACTTTTTCTGACACACAATGTTACACCACTAAAAAAGACCAGAAACTATAAGAACTGAGTCATTTTCCCCAAACTGTGCTATTGCTGTGTAAGGTTAGCTTTATCACTAGCATGGATCAGTCCAAAGTTTGCTTTCAGAACCTATACAACTAACCTCGTTCTTGAAACTGTACACAGGGTCTGGAATATGAAGATGTATGCACCCTTATGTATCCAAGAGGTAAGAAAGCAGGCATACCGAGCACTCACATACTTTGAAATACAATCGTAGGAGTAAGTTTCATGGATTACAGACTTGCAGAGAAAAGGACACTGTGAGCCCTCCCCCCTGTGATTGCTAAAAAGGAGGCTCCATATGTAAACACTCTCTAAAAACCACGAATTGCAGATGGATATCTCATGTTCAAGATGAATTACCTGTGATAAGCTTTGGTCTACAATTGGTACCAGCAATTCAAATCGGTAAATACATCAGATGTTTACACATCTTCACATCTCTCCTTCTTTCCTTCTTCTTGTAAACAACATGCCTGCTTGTCCCTTCAGATCTGACATGCCCAACACATAGATTGCAGGCCACATATGGCCCAGCCCAGCTCGTCCTGCAGCCACCCTCTGTCCTGTGCCATCATGGTGGTGGTTCTCACTGAGCAGCTCATCCAACAGCCACACAAGGTTGATGGGCACTGCACAGGTTGAAACCAGGGCACATCATGGTGGTGGTTCTCACTGAGCAGCTCATCCAACAGCCATACAAGGTTGATGGGCACTGCACAGGTTGAAACCAGGGCACAGGGAGGGTGCAGTGCTGTACTGATGCCAGCGTTGGCAAATCATGTTACGCATTCTGATGCACTGGCTAAATACAGGAGAGAAAAATATACAGTTGTGCTTTCTGTGTTGATACAGGAAATGACATCGTTTGCCTGGATTTGAGCAAAGCATTGGACACTGCCTTGCATGACATCCTGGTTGCCAAATCAGAGAAAAATGGATTTGATGGATGGACCACTCACTGTATAAGGAATGATTGGATGGTTGCACAGCTGTAGTCAATGGTTCAGTGTCCATGTGGAGATGGGTGATGAGTGCTGCTCCTCAGGGATCAGTGCTGGGACCGGTGTTACTTAACATCTTTAGTATCTCATGCAACATGGACAGTGAAATCGAGTGCATCCTCTGCAAGTCTGCAGGTGACACCAAGCTGTGTGGTGCAGTCAACAAATGAGAGGGAAGGAATGCCATCCTGAGGGATCTGGCCCATGACAAAGTTCAACAAGGCCAAGTGCAAGGTCTTGCATCCAGATCAGGGCAAACCCAGGCACAGATACAGGCTGGGCAAGGAATGGCTTGAGAGCAGTCTGAGGAGAAGGATTTGGGAGTATTGATAGATAGATAAACAGACTCAACATGAGGCAGCAATGTGCACTTTCTGCCCAGGCAGCCAACCATATCCTGGGTTGCATCAAGAGAAGTGTGACCAACAGGGCAAGGGAGGTGATTCTGAGCCTGCTCTCCTGAGACCCCACCTGGAGTACTGTGTCCAGTTCTGGTGCCCCCAAAATACAAGGATGTTGGAGCAGATCCAGAAGAGGGCCACAGAGATGATCAGAGGGCTGGAGCACCTCTCCTACAAGGACAGGCTGAGAGGGCTGGGACTCTTCAGCCTCAAGAAGGCTTCAAGATCTAAAAGCGACCTGCCAGTACCTGAAGGGGCCTACAGGAAAGCAGGGGAGGACTTTTTATACGTGCATGTAGTGACAGGACAAGAGGAAATGGTTTTAAACTGTCAGAGAGTAAATTTAGACTAGATATTAAGAAGACATTCTTTACTGTAAAGGTGGTGAGACACTGAACAGGCTGCCCAGCGAGGTTGCAAATGTCCCCTCCCTGGAAGCATTCAAAGCCAGGCTGGATGGGGCCGTGAGCAACCTGGTCTAGAGGAAGGTGTCCCTGCCTATAGCAGGGGGTTGGAACTAGATGACCTAGAAGATTCCTTCCAACCCAATCCATTCTATGATTCTAGGAATTTGAGAGAATGTTTCAAGATTGCAAAAACAAAAAAAAAATCAACAAAAATCAATTTTTTATATATCTGTGACTCCATTGTCAGCCAACATAAATACATTACCTGTGAATTTTCAAATGGAATATAGAGAATTGCAATCAGAAATTCAATGCAAAAATCCGATCATGTCTCTCTACTTATAAGAGTCCTCTTACCAGAGAAAAACATTCTTCACAATCTGCCTCATTCATGTCACTGCTTTCCAGCAGAAGGTACGTTTGTAAACAACTGTTTTCAAGGATGAAGTACAGGAAGAGTACAATGTCATCAAAAACCTCTGACAAACACATGAGAGCTTGCAGAGAATTGCAACCACAGCCACTGAACCAGCCTGATGATTATCACAAAAGCAGTGTCAACTATCCCAATGGTTTTAAGGATTTGTTGCTCTTTTTTTTATGTTTGTTCAGAATCAAAATAAATTTGGTTACTTACACACAATAACTGTATATTTTGTAAGGGCTGTTCTGAAAGTAGTCCTTCCTATTTCATGATGTTGCTGTACAACATCAGAGACCAGACGTCAGCGCTACAGCAGTAGATGTTGCACCTTCCCTCTAATATTCTGTTCCATGTCGTTACTGTATAGCAGATGGCAACAGAGGGGCAGTCTGACATGTGGTGTCTGACACGGAAGTATGGATGAAATAAAGATGTGTGAGTGAATTCCTCCACGTGGCAAATAGGTCACCAGTGGCATTTGCTGACACTTGCTAAACATTGACAGAAACCAAACGATGGACAGGAGCACTCAGTAGTGTGTTTCAGCAGTGGTGAAAGCAGTGTGAAAGATTATCCATGTTCTGCAGAGCCATGCATAGCTGTTACATCAGGAAATGAACAGGGCTTCAATCAGACCAAGGGGAATTTGTATTCTCTATCGCTGTATTTCTCTATCAGTGACTTTCTCTGTGGTCATCAAGGATATTGCCCAAAACATTTTAAAAATACAATCTGCACACAAGGAAGATTACTTTTAAATTCAACTGTATCATGGCTTAGAAGACTTTTAAAACCCATTCTGATAAATAAATAAATATTGATAGAGAAACAAAGAAGGTTGCACGTGGCTTGCAGAGAACAGTGCATAAACATTTTCTCATCCAGGAGTCTGATTTTTACATGAACTATGACTGCAGGATTTTGGAGCCACACGAGATACAGATGCACCCAGAAGAGTCTTTGGAGGTACCACAGCTCACATGACCCACCTGCTTCAACACTTTATCTCGGGTAGCAGAACAAGCTGGCTGTGATCTCTCAGGGATCTGATTTCTACCAAGGATCAAGGATCCCCGTCTCTTCATTCACGGCATCTGCAGAGCTGCCTGGCAAACGCACCCAGCCCAACTGGTTGATTGCTGCTCAGCCCCTCACACTGCTGTGCAAACTGCTTCTGCCCCAGTGACAGCAGCAGCTCCATGTCCAGGTGGAGCCTTCTTCCTTCCTCCTCCTTCAACACCAGGCTAACTTTCAGGCAATAGGCACCAACTCCCAACATCTCCATGTTTTGGTCACCACAGGACACTGTTAGAATGGCACCACCTAATGAAGTCAGCCTTTGGTTCCGAGCCCTACACAAACCATTCTGTGAGCAACGGCTCCCATCCAAAGAACCAAAGGGCCGTCCTCTGAAGATGTAGTCTGGTCACTGTCCTTCCCAAAAACAGCAGGAGCCAAAGGGAGAAAAGATGCTCTGAAGCAGCTGAAAGTAGGGCTGCCCCTTTCCTCTTCACTTGAA